TTCTTGATGGAGCAGATGAACCTCACGTGAAGCAGAAGCCAGCAAGATGGAGACCAGTACGGAAGAAGATACATCCCGTAAAATTAAGAGACTTTGTTGAATTTTAATTTTTTGTTTGTAAATTATGTATATTTAGTTAAGTTATTGTAAATCATCTGTTGGTTTAATGTAAGTGGCTATTGTTCGGGACGAACAATACTAAGGAAGGGGCAGTGTTACGACAGCAGAAGTCATGTGACACTGGTAACACGTGATGAGTATCTAGAAGGTTCCTGAAGAGATTAGTGCGTTCTAGACGCCATCTATTCTTGTATATAAGTGAGGCAAATAAAGCGAGACAATTAATTGGAATAGCAGATAGAGAGATTGAATATACAGACACAGTTACTTGAGTCAAGTGAGCGGTAGTGACCATAAGTAAAGTTCGTGAATTGTTGTGAATTATAGCGTGTGTTTAAGTTAAATGGACTGTGGAAATTAAGTATATTGCAAACTTGAATTGAGAAAGAATAAACTAGTTTTATTTAAGAAAGGACTTGTATTGGCTGAAGTTTCTCGGAAATAATTTCTACAGAAAATTAACAAATGAGAACAGAGACGTAACAATATGATTAAGTATTTCACTTGACTCTGTAACTGCAGTAACACTGCTCTGACTCCTTTGTTGCTGGCATTGGAGCTCATTAGAAGCTCACATTTTTGACGTGGGTATATTAACACTGGAGCATCCACCAAAGCAAGCCGATCGCCTGAACTAGTCGTGACCTAAGGATAGGATTAAGCGTAATTCATGGCTTGACACATCAAGTTGAGATAGAACGCTTAACTGAGTACAGAAAATCTATGTTAAGTAAATAAAAGTTGGATAAATTACTTGAATATATCAAATAAAGAAATATTCAGTTTGTATGTCAAAAAAGTGTTGTAGTCATAATCTTGTGTACTACAATTTAACTATGAAAACATTACATTGCATTCTTGCACTGTGATATGCAGGCACCTCATATTTTTTCTATCTGCTTTAGTTATGGAGGAATTGTAAGAGGTTTGCCTTGTTCTCTATAATATACAATATTTATTCTGCCCAACAGGCTATTATAGGATCTGGATAAAATGATTAGCAACTGT